GCACGGTGCACGCCGCGCGCCGCCCGAAGCCCGCCTCCGGCTGGAAGCTGCTCTCTCGCCTCTGGCCGCCGGCGTAGTACCCTGGCGAGTGGTCGCTGGGTAGGTAATCGCTCTGTGAATATTCCTCGCACGGAGGGAACTTGGGGTCGACATAGTTTGAGTTGATCAAAAAAGAACTCATAGCCATTAATTTCTGGGAATTGCCCACAAAATATACTAAAATTTATTCCGACCCCTGACTCGTTTTCCTGTTTCCGAAAGCCCTCCTACTTACTGTCAAGTGAACAAAGTTAGGGCCCCACGTGATCCTGGGAGCCAATGGTCGCCCCGCCTGCGATTCCCGGATAAGGAAATCTGCTCACCCGGACCCTACTCCAGCCAAAGAGGTTTATTTCCCCTTCTTCTCTTTCCCCCTCCCCACCCACCCACCCAATACCAAGATTTACATAGGGCTCCTGCGGGGCGACCGCCTCCTCGCCTTGCTCTCTCCAAGATCCGAGGGAGAGAAGAGAGGGGGGCGGGTGGGGGGGAGAGAGAGAGAGAGAGAGCGAGAGAGCGCGAGCGAGCAGGTTGCCACCGAAGAGCCTGTTGGGGCTCTGGGAAGAGCACAATCCTGGATCCCTTCCGAAGTTGGGGCTCCCGGCGTAGCCCCTTCTGTATTGCCTCACTTCTGTCCAACATTCTGTGCCTTCCGTAGGCCCCTATCCCCTCCTCCCGACAGGAGGGAGCCCGTGCACCCTACGTCTGTGTGGGGAGTGAAGAGAGGACGGAGTGGGGGCTCCGCCTAGAGAGGGGAGCCTACTTCGGGACGAGAGGCGCTGACCGTGGGGCTTTTCTCTGCAGCCGCATGGGGAGGGGTAGGGAGTGAGAGAGGAGGCGCATGGAACAAGCAGGCGGGTGCACGGAGAGACTTGTCAGAGATGAATGGAACGGCGGGCGGATCGATAGGAAATTCATGCACTAATTCGGGGAGACCTCGCCTTCCAAATCGCATTTAGTTGCGCTATTAGTTTGGCTGTGTCAGTCCGTCTGTTCCCCTCTCCTATCCACCCCACATGGCCCAAGCCGGTAGAAATGACTTGGTTTCCCACAATGAACATGAGCGCTAGAGTAAAATACCTGCAACTTTTGAGAGCACATTGAATAGCAATTTGCTAATTCCAGAACCATCGGAGCAATACTAACCACGGGGTGGAGATGTTCTAATTGCCGCCAATGCCACCGCCTCCGCAGCAAACAGAAATCTCACGTCCTTGTGATGCTGAGGATAGGAGCCCTGGAGGTGAACCCCCACCCCCCGCCACACACACACAATAACACCCCTTGGTAATCACGTATTTCCAGGGCATCTTGTTCTGAACCCAAACGGAAAGGCAACTTCAGCATCCGTTTGAAAAGCGCATTTCCTTTGCCTTTGCACACTGAAAACAACAGTTATTTTTTCCGGATTTTCAGGAAAGCGCCCCCCTCCCCAGCCCAGAATAAAGAATAAATGGGTGGGTTTGTAGGAGAGGATAAAGTAAAAACACAACCACAACCATTAACCTATTAAGAGAAATGAAAAGGGACCAAAGCTCCCAGGGGGCAGGCATGGGGAGATTTCAGGTAGATGATTCCTCTATCTCTAACCAGTTGCAGAAGGAAAAGAAAGAGGAAGAAAGAAGGAAGGAGTCTTCGCTGGGTCAGTCACAGGATGGTCCTTAGTTAGAAAAAAAAAAAATTTTCTTCAGGGGGGAAAAAAAATGAGCGGAGTGTTTATGTCAACTACATATTCCCCTAGATACGAATTTGTGACCACAAAATTCCTTACACAAATTCGGATCTACAGGGTATATACAGAAGACAGACAGATCTTCTTGGCCCAGAAAATTTCCGGTTCTCCTACTTTCCGCGTGTTCTTCGTTTGGGGTGTGGTTTGAGTGCTTTGGTTTTATTTCGTTTTATTCTGATTTTGAGCTCTGGGTGCAGGAAAGGCACAGCGAGTCCATCTTTGGGATTAGAAGGTTTTCAATTCTCTTTCTCTTCTATAAGAGAGAACTAGAAGCAGCCGGTCCCGCAAAGAGACACGAACCTCGCGGCCTCAGCGCAACTCTCCGCGGTGGCGCGTGAATTATGAGATGTAAACATTAGCTAAACAAAAGGAGGAAGGGTCATCCTGAGGCTGCAGCAAGTCAGAATCTGGCCCTTCTGGGTGCCCTCGCGCCCCTCCCCTCC